TTGTCTAATTTTTCAATAAAAAATACCTTCTATTATATGGTAATAAATACCTTGATAATTTTTTATTATGGTTCCTGTGAACCAGGATCTACATTCTACATATGGTAACACGCATATTTTCAGAAATCGGTATACTTATTTGTTCTAAGGATGAACTTTTACTATAATCCAATAATACATCAACGATTATATCCCTCCATTTAGATAAGAATAAAGATACATACGAGATACAAATATCTGTAGTAGTTAAATTTACCTAATGAATTAAGAGCTTAGAGATAAAGTTCGATAAAGAAGCGATATAACGTTAAATTGACCATTAAATTCCATCGTCAACTTTGTGCTATATTTATAGTAAGGTGAACGTCGATATGTACGCATCGGCGATATTGTCACGCCTCAGGGGACGTTCTCTGGCCGCTTGTGCTCGGGCACACGCACCACTGACAACCGGAGCCCTGTAGCCCGCCCTGCTCAACGGTCACTCTCGTCTGACTATAAATAAAACGGGTACATTTTGCTCTACAAAAAAAAAAAAACACCGAGGAATGAAGAGATGTTTCATAGATATATTACACTGAAAATATTTGAATTTAAAACGCGGAATCGAGTATCTACAAGTATATTTTGCTTCGCAACAAAACTTTTGTGCTCCAGAGTGAGAAAAAAAAACACGGGAGAACTTATACTGGACATTATATATATAAAAAAGTGACAATCGATTTAGTAGTCGCCCAAAAAATCCAAACGATTTAAAAACATCCTATTTTTGGAAGTCGTTCAAAAACTGACGCGCTGATAAACAAATCTTTTATCCATTTAATGTTAAATTAAGCAATATACGATCAGCTGTGACCAGTACTCGTAACGCAGATTAATTTGACGTCAGTATGATTAGACACTCATATGCGTGTCTAACAAGTTTTTAAGTATTAAAGAAATAATACTATATTATAATAAACATTATATTAACTACACGTATAAAATATAAAATACATATATAGGTTATCTTTAACCTTCGTACCGACACAGATCCATAATGTATAAATTTCAAAATGAATAAAAATCGCAATCAAATGTAGTTTTAGTTTCGTCATGTTTGTTTTTCTCGTCGTATCTTCGAATGTCAATTTGTATAATTTTTGTAACTTTTGGAGGGAGATGAACAGTCCGCTTCAATACAATTTAGTGAAAATGTAAACAAAAGAAATATTGCCAGCTGATGTCAAATAACAAATAAAAAATCAATTAATTACTTAAATGTTTCGATTTATTACTAATGATATTCAGAGAGTATCATCACATCAGACTTTAACTGTCCACTGCTGAACATAAGCCTCTCCCTTGGGGGGTTTGCCAGTAGTCGCCACGTTTGGCAGGCGGATTGGCAACAGCAGTTAGGCTTTGAAGATGTTTTAAGAGGGACGCTACCACCCATCCCTTGTGCGTACCTTAGTCGCCTCTTACGACACCCACGGGAAAGGAAGGGGTGGCCTATTTTATGTCAGGACCACACGGCATTTAGAGAGTATGTCTGTGATAATTTAAAGAAAACTTGGTTATTTTTTTACCAAGTTCTCTTGTAACAGACTAGAATGGCGACTTTCGGAAATGCATTAGGTATTTGTTTGTTAACAGAAATCCCTATAATACATCAACATTACGTTAGGATTAAAAAATCATTGAAACATAAAATAAGAGGTATTATGCAAACGAAATTGTCAAATTATTGTTTTTAGGTGATTTTATTACAAATTGGAGCAACCACGTTATGAGATTTGAAAACAACGAAGTTAATAAAACGCTGATTACTTTCGTATTGTATAACGAATCTAAGTCTTATTGCATATTATAATTAGGATCATATAAGAAACCAAAGTACTATATAGAAACAAAGATATTATTGTGTTCTTATTAACACTCTATTTGCTGACGTATGATAAATTAATTATCTTATTTGATATTGATGAACTGTTAAGAAAACAGGTGTTAGAATATAAAAACTTTAATTGACTGTGCCAGACGTTAATTAGCACTGAAAAAATTTTTAGAAAAATAAAATTGAATAGTTCATTTACTAGCAGGTAGTAATTTAAGACAGGTAGCCAGATACATGAGTAATTGAATGATTTTATAAGGTTTTTGTAAAAGATTTTTCTTGTGTTCCTTTTATTTTATTTATTAAAACAAGAAACAGTAGTACAAAATTATTTCGATACAATCAATACTATAGACAAAAGGAAAAAAAGAAAATAAATAGATCAACAAAAGTGCTAGATCTGTGGTTTAAAAAACTCATTTTTGTAACTATAACCGAGATAAATCGTGACATGGAAAAATACATATCACAATTTGAAATACTATATTGGAATACCTAAAATTTGACACCTAAAAGTACGAACATAAATAAATTATCTGTGTGTAGCTATCTTAACCATGTAGTAAAGAGTGAGAATCCAATTTATACCCTGGACATAAGAGGCGATTAAGGGATAAAAGCACAGTATACTAGTATGGAATTAAAATTCAAAATAAAATTCTATAACAATCAATTTGGGCAGAATGATTATGGCAGGCATATATTCTCATATGGAAGTATACCAAATTATATCATAACTTGGTAAGAGACTTCCATAATTTAAAAAGTTAATGAGTTGTTACAGCATGTAATCGGGATTTTATTTTGTTTTTACACTATAAAATCAAAGTCCAAGTCTGAAACAACATCACCCTGGCATTCTCTATTTTTATATACAGTTGTCAACACAGAATGATTCATGGTCAATTCTATCCAACTGGCAAAGCTTCAAGTAACCCTGACTGATAGGCTAACATTCACAACTGCCTTAAAAAGTGTGGGTGGCAATTTATTTGCTATGTACAATGGTTTATTGATAACTAAAATTAACTGAATCCATTGTTATTTTATAAACGATCATCATTTATTAATACTTTATTATATTTAAAATCTATTAATCAATTATTGAAATCATTATCTCAATCAGTCTATATAACTAGTTACCTTAATTTAGTGTACAGTCAGAAATACATTTTCGTAATATAAATGATTACTTTCTGTTACTTGTATATATTTTAGAGAAATAAATAGAAAGCATTGGACAGATCATTATCATTCAAACTTATACAGAATATAAAACATGAAAACAATAATAATAACTTCAATATTTTATTAGGTAATGAAACAAGTAGAAATAACTAGGAATTAATGATTTACAAGACATGTAATAACAAGAATTTCTTTATAATTGAAATAAAGCAAGAATGGCATGTTTATTATACTAACATAGCTGAAAAAGATAAGTAGTGTCAATGACCTCCTATAATACATTTATGGATAAGAAATTTACTTATTAAATGTTTATATCTGGAAGTATATCAGATAGTAATATAAATAAATTTACATTAAATGTTTGCATATACCTTTTCTGAATAATTCAATGATTATAAAGAAATCTAGATTTATAAGAAGAATGAGTGAATGGGTTTAATTACCTTATCACAAGTGTCAATAAGATGTGGGGTGTAGGTACATTGGAGATTGTAAACAAATGTGCTACCACAGTCTGTGACTGCAGCATGTTTGCCTTATGATGTATATGTATATTTTTAACTTTTTATGAGTCTGTTAAATAGACAATTTACACATTTAAATCTATATTAATAAGTATAACAGTATGCTTTTTAGTATTATATACTTTTTTAAGGTAATTTATTTTTAACTGCAACATAACAGATCATTTCTTAATAAATTTTTTTTATTTAATTTCCTTTACCTTTTAATTACCCCAGTGAGTCAATTAAACAGAGAATCTATGTTCATGTTTGTTTTTGCTGTTTATTCAACTGTCTATTGCTTACATTAATACAATCAATAGATTAGTTAACAATATATGAAAATTACTTGTCATAGTCAGAAATATAACAAAACCAATTATAATGTAAAGTCGCTGATTCAAGTGATCAAAATGTTAATGTTTATTAATTCATATAACCAACTCTATTTAATTTGAAAGTTAGAATTTACTATTGTCTTATTATTATTTTTAAAAGGTTATGCAGATTAATGTAGTAGATATAAATTTCAATTTAAATGTGCGTATCGGTTCAAATATTGCTTCTATCTAAAACAATTTATGCTCAAAATGCTTGTTAATATAATGTTATATATATATATATATATATATATATATATATATATATATAGATTATAATAAATTTAGGAAACTAACTAAACTACTTCTTAATAACTCTGTATATTAGAAATAACAGAAACTTGTAGCATAATTTACTGGTAATTAAGATTTAAGAATCTTTAGTAGTCTGGTTAAAACCTATGGTAAAATAAAAAAAAATCATTTTAGTTTAGTTATAGAAAGTCATAGTCCATCAGTTTTATTTATAGGTTCTAATTTTGTAATTTATTTATAATTTTGAGATGTTCGAAATAATATATACTATATAAACACAAATACAGGTATGTATAAAAGGTTAATAAAAATTGTAATTATGATTGTTCAAAAATATGAATAAGCCATTCATAAAGATTAATAAAGATGCTAATATTATAAAGATACAATGTAATAAATATATTTTAGTAATGTAAATTTTTTCACCTATCATATTGAAATAACTACTTAATACCTATGTGCTACTTATTTATTATTGATAATATTGTGTATCTTTGTTCAGTTATACTGTTGGCATTTATATTTTAAAGTTATATAGATAAGAAAAAAAAAATCTCCACTCCTTTTATAAAATAATGATACTGTATGACATCAAGGGAAGTTATTTGGTGTGTAGGTAGTCTAAGGGAGGTTTTATTTAACTTATATTTTAATACTAGATTAGTGATACTAATTAAATAAAAGTATTTATGTCTAGGAATATACTTGAAGTATATGCACTATTCTGAATGGTTTATCTATGAAAACAGTAATTTATTTATATATAAAACAAATATATAGATGAGTACTTACCATTTGGCCCATATTTTTCTTGGTTCCTTTTTATTTGGTCTGGACTAAGGCCTTTGTCTGGGTCTGTTCCAAAATATCCTAAGACTTCATCCACGGATTTCGTGTGAGCGTCCTCCATGGTGGAATTACTACGTTGCCGTCAGTTCTAGAAGGAAAGAAGAGAATATAGGTTAGAAGTGACGAGTCATCATTCTCAAGTTATTGTTTTGAGGTTATGTTGTCTATATTGATAGTGATCATGACGACATAATTGTTTTTATATGCCACGGCCACGTTATTAAATAGAAGCTCTATTATTTCCTATTAACGTCATATCTTCTCTAGGTATCTATAGAAATAGACACTTGTAGGTTGTAGTAATCAGTCGCAGGTTGTGGTTTGATTTTTTATATTAATCCATGAAATCACTGATACATTGCTTATGATGCAATTACGCAAAAAATGTGTGTAACGAATAAGTTATTTAATGGGTTAACCAGCGATTTCCTAGATGGCAAGCACCGTTTGATGACCACTGCACCACTCACCTAGATTTTTTTAATAATACATGAGAAAAGACCGTCTTGTAATTGGTTTCACTTAATTTAGAAAGTCTGAACCTTAGTTTATATAGTAATAATTAAATTTTGTACTAAGCTAATACTTTTTCTCGTAAATATCATAAACCACAAGCACACGTATATAAATCAGCCGTCATTTTTCGTAAACTGACGTAGGAAAAGTGATTTCTAGTGCTGCCACCTGTGTGACAGATCAAGAACTGCAATAATCATTAGAGAAACTTTTTATATTGTCATTCTTTATTATAGATTGAATAAAAATATTTATTATACGTTTAACTTAAAAATATAATAAAAATTATGTTATTGTTTTATTACGCAGATATTACTGATAAATTTAATTTACGAGCACACATAAATGTGGAACGATGCTATAGGTTGAAATTGTACCACGTGATCCAATGCTATTTTCGTATTTTAGGCGCCGACAAATTGCGGTATTTTTAAAATTCAGAAGTTTGTTTCGCGTTATGTAACACTTTGTCACTTAGTTATTCACTGTTTTTATTAAGAACTTAAGACACTTAATTCAACACACGAAGTTAATCCCCGCACGAAGTATTTATGGGTGTATTATGAACTTACTGATATATTTTTTTCGACAGCGTCGGGAAGGAAAGAAGAAATAAGAGTGGCGCGGGAGATGTTTTCCCTCCGCGCCCCGAGTAGCGACTCCCGGGCGAAGAGCGACGATTTTAGAGCGGCGCGGGCGCGGTGGAGGGACACAGACGGAGATTTCTTTAATTATTTTGGCAACAGTACTCGGTGGCACGGCCGAGTCGCTTTCCAGGGTTGCTTGTCGCACGGCGGCCGTCGCCGTCCGTCCTATGATGATCTTTTTATAGCAGACGCAGCCCGGGACGAGCTCTCGGCATTTTAGGCTGATAATGTACGGTAGTTTTATGCATGGACTATTTTTTAATGATAATTAGTTATTTTTATGATGCAAAGCTGCAATCTAGAACTAGTTGCAAATAGTTGAGTAGATATTATCAGATGACTGGGAAAGGGAATAATTTCCTTTAGGTATTAGGAAAAAAGGTGATAATTTGACGGTACACTAAATATGTATATCTAGGCTGCATCGGCTATTACTCCTGGTTATAATGGCATGTGTATATAAATATATAAAAAAAAATGATTCGAGATTAGTCAGGTACATTCTACGTAGGTACGACAGACAGATGTACGTTTTCTTTCGGCTACGGTACATACATACATTTACGTAAGTAATGTGACTTATTCTTTTTTCAATGGCAATTATAATTACAATAACATGCTGTGGTGAAATCATGCTAATTGCCTCGTCATCAAGATACCTGCTCCTTTATGTAAGAAATCAGGCAAGTTGCATACCAAACCGAAAAATGAGAGGACCAGAACAGAATCTAGATCACAAATAAACAAAATGTGATGAACTTTAAAAAGGGACTATCATTGTTTTTCAGAATCAAAATTATTTTAATTAATTGGTATAAGAAATACGAGAAAATATAAGAAGTACCTATCAGAATACGAAATATTATTATTTTTATATATATATATATATATATATATTAAGCATGCCATAAGAGACGATTAAAGGAATACTACACAATATATTAATGCAAAATAAGTAAATAAATTTTAGATTAATCGCTTGACTAGCATGGTAAAAGTAGACTAACATCCTCCTAAAGGGGAAAGAATAAGAGAAACATGCTTAATAGTATGGGTTATGGTTAGGTTGGTAGGTTAGGTTTGTAGTTTGTCATAGTATGGGTTATGAATAAAAATCTTGAATTAACAAAATAAATTTCTTAACTATGACCTAATTATTAAGATGTTGCAGATTAGATAATTAGTACGTTGTATTTAGAGCATGGCCGACATATGGACATTGGTGAGCTTGTTTGTTGGCAAAAGTGCTCTGTAGTGACTTTGACTAAAGTGGACTAAGAGACTTATAGATATGCATGTATATAACATATATATTCAGCAAACATAGGTAAAATTAGAATCTTTCTCGTAACTTTTATGGGAGTAATTTTTACCAATGTGATAGAACATTTTTCTTTAAAAAAAAAAAATGGTGCGAAAAACAACTAAAATAGTTTTCCATAGTAATTTGACTACTGGTCGGATGCACCGCGGTGACTTTAATTTCAAGCCTCAGAATTTTTTTTTTAATAGGAAATCAAGTTCCGTCTATTTAATTTCTATTTCCGTCTCCTCTGTGCCCTAACTATAGTTTGCATTTTGGATTAATCCTGTGTGTTAGGCTTGAAAAAAAAAATCTTGTCTAAGTTGTAGATTGGTCCGTCGCATACAAGGCGACTTATGAGTGATCTGTGATAATATTTTTGTTGCTCGTCATTATGAGAATGTTTTGTATCAAATTTCTCAACAAGTTTGACAATAAACACAATCTATTATAATGGTAACAAACATTAGATTCCTTTCTCTTTCCCATTAAGGAATAAAATTTAGATAACTAAATAAATATTAAAATTTGCACAACGTTAAGAGAAGTCAGTATTGTTTGTAAGCATTTAAATATTTGATTATGAAACGTATAAATGTTTACTACCTCTGATAATCTAAGCTGTGAATATAGACATTTCAGAATCTAATGGCCGTTGAATTTCACTAAATAAAATCCGCAATATAGTGTGGTGACTGGCGAGCTTACTGAATTTACGATATTGGTCTTTCGGCGACCACGACAAAAATGTCAGCCTTGTCTCTAAAGCACTTGATATATATTTAGAGAGTGAAAATAGAAAATCACAGGGAACAGTTGAATGCCAATGTTAACATCTATTTCTGTAGCTGGAATAAAAGTGTGTAGATCATAACTACGTCAGAGAACTTGACTCAAATGGAACGAGTAAATTAGTTTTATTTTCTACAATAAACAAATACAAATATTTGTTTGTTAGAGTATCTATTCTATGTGTAGATAACTATTAAAGTTTCCATAAAATAACAAATCGCCATATCATATTTAAAGAGGAAATATTAACTTAATAGTTAATTTGCACAGGACAATAACTTTCAAAAGTAAAAACAAAAATGTTTTTAATGTTATTTGTATATACTTATTAATTCTGTATTAATACTTAGGAATGGGTATATAAATCATACTTTCATACAATAATATTAATTGTTTAGAATTTTATGAATAAAAAAGTAAATCATTTTAACAAATGAAATAACAGTGAAAAAAATTGTATGAATGGCTAGTTGAATCGTAATTTTACTGTTAGGGACTTTATGTTGGATTAAAATGATGGAGATTTGTACGTATTATCCTTATATTTTATATCTTATTTATTGACTTTTTTGTTTTATTTATTAGTACATCTCATTTTTATTATTGACCATTTGATATCCAATTGTTGTATTATTTACTTTGACTATTTAAACTAATTGGCTGAATAAAATAAATTGTACTACATTACTTAATACACTAAAGTTATTTTATTATTATATAATTTTGTAATGTTTTAATGTTACAAAAAAAATTAATTTATTGTAATTTAGGGTTTCAATATTTGCACGCTAGACCTAAGTAGATTTTGTAAGGTACTATTAATTTAAAAGATCAAATGTTTTATACCCAAAATCATACTAATTAAAATGTTGTTAACTTTTTGATGATATACCGGTATCTATATTCAATAAGTCCATGAAAATTGTTTAAGCCTATCTACCTGTCAATATGTTTTTATTACTAGTTACATATTAGTATATTTTTGTTACACTTAAAAGAGAAGATTTATCAGTCATTACGTTGCTATTGCTTATAGATTAAAGTTATTGTAAAATTTGATTAAAACATCTCATTTAACTAAAAATTGGGTTTCAATAGAAGCTTCATTGTGTTATACTAAACAAAAATATTTATTATAAAAGAGTAAAGAACCACAAATAAAATAATACTAGGAAAAACTCTTTAAAATGGTATTTGTAATTTTATAAAATTCCTAGTTGAAGGAAATTTATATATTTTTTATATTCTTATATAGTTTATTATTTCGTCTTAATTTCTTAGGAATTAAGGTTAGGAAACACAATTCACATTTTGAATATTATTTTAGAAAGCAAAAAGTAAAACACGAATTATCTTTTGAACATAATTTAAGCTTTTGAAAGTATACCTTCTTTTTTCTAAAGAGATTGGATAATCCTCATTTGAAGTCTTTTTATTTTAATTGATATATTGATTAAATATTGTATTTTATATTGATGACATAATTTTATATCAAACTGTGATTTTAAAGTCATGGTTAACATGCCACTGAGCATGACTTTGAAGGGGTGAAGAAGGAAATATTGGTACTATGGTATTCATATGCAATTTTGCTTTTATTATTATAACATAAAGGAGCTTATAAGTTTTTACTAAAGTATAAAAAACATTCAAAATTCACAAACGCCTAATAAAAAGAAATTTAGATAATGTTTTCTTATCCGAATTATTATTCGAAACAGTAAGTATGCGTTCTTTTGATCTTATTTTGTGTTCTGTGATTTGAAATTATACTCGTATATAATCTTTGAAATATTTTTTTGGTTTCTTGAATCTGTTTTCTTATTTGTAGATATTAATTCACTTAATTTTTTATAGTACCTAATTTACAAATACAAACAATAATATTTTTGTTTACTACAACAGCTAACAAAAGCAAAATATTTTTACCTATTTGAAATATGAGTGAATAATGTTATTAGAAGCCTGAGAAAAAAGAGATTAGACGTAATTAATAAATGTAACCGTATATTATTAAGCGGCTTGAAGGTCTAATTGCTAGCTTTATTAAAAAATAAAGAATTTTGCAAATGAAGAATTATGCATTTAAAGCCCGCTACTTCGAAAGCTATGTTTATGAGTTTGTCCGTTAATTTTAACTAATGTTTTACTTACACTAACATATTTACTTATATAATACAACAACATATTACAAACATATTTACTTATATAATATATGAATACCAGATAGAAACAAACATTTTTTTTTTAAATTAATTCTAAAATAAAATTAAAATTATATAATAGCAATTGTTTCATAAATTAAATGGATACATATAAATACTCAACACGAGTTTATTTAAAAAATTAGAGCATTATTCTAACTTGGATATGAAATCATTACATATACTCGT